GCGCAAATTTATTAAAGGAAAAGTCACAGCAGATGCTTCCTCCTTGCTTCATATTAATCTCATATTTACAAACTGATCTATATAAGTCCGTTACATGTTCATCATATTAATGTGATGCGCAGCTACACTTTCTAGTTTCTGCTAATAACCCTTCTTTGTATCTTCTGACTAAGAGAGTGTTTAGTTTAATTTCTACAAATTATAGGAAATGTTTTCCGTACAAAATATGATTTAATTTCCTCGTATTTCTTAAAAAAATTATAGGAAAAGTTTTGAGAAGTCAAAAAGTACTAATTTTCTTATTTTTTTTACTTTGCTTGTTTGGTTCAAAACAAAAAAAATAACCCATAACTTTATAGAAAATAGCAAGATTTCCTATAATTTGACACGTGATAAACTTAAATATGATGAATATTTATGAAATACGAGGAAAATGTCAATGTGGTGTCAACTTTATAGAAAAATGTCAATGTTGTGTCAGATTTTTGTAAAATTTGATATTTTTTTGTACTTTACAGAAAACATTTTTGTAATTTTTTTTACCAAAATACAGCTTACGGAAACCTACAGAAAATTTTTAATTACAGAACTACCATTATTAAACATTTTTGAAAAAAAAATTCTATAAAATTGTGCAACCAAACAATCACCCCCTAGAGGAAACCCATGCGGTGATAATTTTGGAGAGGAGATAATTAAAATAAAATAAAATTGGTTTTAGCAAGCGGTCCCACTGCTTGCCTCAACCTGCACAAACTTCAAAGTATCAATTGAATGCTGAGCCATTCCCTATGTATGTTTTATATCATTTTCGTAATATTAATGGCTTGCTATAATAAATGAACGAGGTGACCAGCTTGGGTCAGTTCTTTGAAGCTAAGAGATTCTGCCATCACGTGCTTAAAACATGCGAGTACCTCTGATTGCTCAATCCCACACTCTTTGCTATTGACCGACTCTGAGGAGGTAGATGCACGGCCATTTTAACTAAGGAAAATGATAGGCACACCTCCAACCACACATCCTCTCTCATTTACTACAGTATACCGGGTCTTACATGTAATTTTAAAATTTTAAAATCTTATGTGGAACCCAGTACACTGTAGCAAATGAGAGGAGAGTGGTTGGAGGTGTGGTTGATGGTGTGCCCCTAGTGCCACCCAATAAAAACATAGAGTGATGTTTTTTAGGGGTTGTTTGTTTGCCTTAAAAAAAAGGAAATCAAAGAATATATAAACTATTTCTAAGAAAAATTATTTTGAGATTGTTTTGTTGGCTAAAAAAAATGTAATCAAAGAATGAGAAATGAATTGTCACATTATTATCGGATGATGTTGGTGGTTTTTTAAGAATTTTTTTTTGAGGTTGTTTGGTTGGCTAAAAAAATAAGGAAATAAATTATAAGAAACATATTTCCTGTAATAGGTTTCTTTTTTTGTGTTTGGTTCATTCATAAAAATAAAAAAATAAATGAGATGAGATGAGTTATCATTATAATATTGGATAATGTGACTCACACCTAAGGAAATCGATTTCCTAGTTTTTTCTGGAGGAAATGAGTGGAAATGAAATGTTAATGAGATGAGATGAGTTGTCACAATATTATCGCATGATGTGAGTGATTTTTAAAGATGAGATGTGATGGAAATGAGATGAGTTAGATGATGTGACCCATTTATTGTGTTTGGTTTATTCTTAGGGGCTGTTTGTTTGCCTAAAAAAAGAAGGAAATCAAAGAAAAGAAAACATATTTCTAAGAAAAATAAGTTTTGGGATTGTTTGGTTGGCTAAAAAAAAGAAGGAAATTAAGGAAATGGAGATGAGATGAGATGAGTTGTCACCTTATTATAGGATGATGTGAGTGATTTTTTAAGAAAACTTGTTTTGATGTTTGGTTGGCGGAAAAAATAAGAAAATGAATTATAAGAAATCTATTTCTTGTATTAGGTTGTTTTCTTTTGTTTGGTTATTTCTTAAAAATAAGAAAATAGATGAGATGAGATGAGTTGTCATTATATTATTGGATGATGTGACCCACACTTAAGGAAATTGTTTTCCTATCTTTTTGGGAGGAAAACAAAGAAATAAAATGTTAATGAGATGAGATGAGTTGTCACAATCTTATTGGATGATGTGAGTGATTTTTAAATATGAGATGAGATGAGTTGAGTGATGTTGTGGATGAAAATAATATTTTATTAGATGTGGTGGATGTGATGGATGAGTTGTTGGATAAAAATAATATTTTATTAGATATGATGGATGAGTTGTTGGATAAAAATAATATTTTATTAGATGTTGTGGGTGAGTTTTAGGGATGGAAATGTGTGAAATTGTACTTTTTGTGATTTCTTGGTTTTCATTTTTATTTTTTGGTTTTTTAGGAAATAACCAAACAGGCCCTTAGGAGATGATATGAGATGAATTGTAGGATGAAAATAATATTTTATTAGATGTTGTGGTGAGTTTTAGGGATGGAATGGATAAAAATATTTTATTGATTTCCATGTATCATTCTCTTTTTCTTGATTTTTAGGAAACCAACCAAACAGCCCCTTATACCAAAATATTTTATGACAGTTCTCTAAACTCTCAATTTTATTTTAAAGTTATATAAACTCCCGCTAGAGTTATTAGTCTTTCTAACACCGGACCCAACCGAAAAGTTTTTTTTCTATTGCTTTCTAACGCTAGGGTTATTACTCTTTCTAACGCAGGACCCAATTGAAAAGTTTTCTCTATTGCTTCCACGATTTGTGAAAGTTTTCTCTAACTACGTGGACTTCATCATCATTATTATTATTATTATTTATACCAACGCCCAATAAATGAGAAACTTCCAACTTTATACAAACAGGGAACATAAAATACATTGACCACAACCAACCAACCAACCAAAATTTATTGCACGCCACCTTTATTTGAAATTTCTCCGTTATTGGGAATCATGGAAATGGCAACCTCAAGTGTCAATCCAGCAAAAGATCCTCCCCTCACTTGACTTTCACAATGAGTGACACTACAGGCACACCACGTGCCACACCCTCAGCCACACTCTCCTCTCTCTGCTACAGATTTATAAACGGTTACTGTAGCAGAGAGAGGAGAGTGTGGCTGAGGGTGTGGCACATGGTGTGCCTGTATCATTTTTGTTTCATAATATTGAAGTGAATCAAAGAATAGGAAACATATTTTTTATAATAGGTTTTTTCTTGTGTTTGCTTGACTTCTTAAAGTTAAAAAAAAAAGAGATGAGATGAGATGAGTTATTATCATAATCATATTATTGGATGATGTGAGTGTTTTTTAAAGAAAACTTGTTTGGTTAGATAAAAAAAATAAGGAAATGAATTATAAGAAACATATTTCTTATAACATGTTTTTTTCTTGTGTTTGGTTCATTCTTAAAACTAAGAAAATAGATGAGATGTGATGAATTGTCATTATATTATTGGATGATGTGACTCATACTTAAGAAAACCAATTTTCTTTTTCTTTTTTTAGGAAATGAATAGAAAGAAAATTTTAATGAGATAAGATGAGTTATCACCATATTATTGGATGATGTGGGTGATTTTTAAAGATGAGATGAGACGAGATAGATGATGTGACCCATTATTTGTGTTTGGTTCATTCTTAAAAGTAAGAAATGAGATGAGATGAGTTGAGTTGTCACCATATTATTGGTTGGTGTGAGTGATTTTTAAAGATGAAAATGAATGAAAATCAAATTTTGTTGATTTCGTAGGTAGGATCTATTTCCTTTTCTTTGATTTTAGTAAACCAACCAAACAGACCATAAGGGGCCGTTTGTTTTGATTTTTTTGAAGAGGAAAGCCTGCCAAAACTGGCTTTCTTGCAAAAACGTTTTTTTTAAGACGTTTTTGCAAGAAAGCCTGTCAAAACTGACGATTTTTGTCAGTTTTGACAGCTTTCACACAGACTTTCCTCTTCAAAAAAAAATCAAAACAAACGGGCCCTAAAAGTAAATAAATTTCCACCAAGCGCGTTATTATTGCTTGCCTTGTTTTCACCAACATGATCGCTTAATGCCCTAAGAATGATACTCTGTTGGTATCCAAGTAGAATTAATAATACTAGTCTCTTTCGAACTAATTTTACAGCATGATGGTTTACCATGATTTACCGCAATTACCCCAGCACGTAGGATAGTTTCACAACAGTAATATAAATTAATTTACTGTGTATTCTAATCTTAAGGGGGCATTTGATGAGCCCACCTAAGATAAATTACTTTAAATAGTTGGACAATCTCCAGTTACCACCACATATACATACCTAGAGATATGAGGCGTAATATATAATATAGACTGCAAACCAACCGAGCAAATTTACCTCTCTTAAAAACTCTCCATTATTGGGGAATCATAAAAAAAAAACGACCTATAATAATACAACTTATTATAGCAACTCGATAGAAAAGCACATTTGTCACCTTCACCAAACATAAATACACCCCCACGTTAAATACCATACAAACCCAACAAGCAGCTGTCCTGCTCACATGGGCTGGGCCCAGCCCCCCTACCGTCCAGTCCCATCATTTTCGCTGTACGCTCAGAGCGACAGATGGGTCGGGCCCAAGCCCATGATCTAAACTGACAAGATTGTTAACCACCACCGTTTGGGCCTTTCTCAGAAGCTGCGGGGACATTCTGGGAATAGCCATAAATCTCTCTGTCCAAGGGCGACGTGCGTTGTCAGGAAGGACTTTAACTGTTCCCAGAATGCCCCTTCTCGCATAGAAAGGCGAGCCCGACCGGCATGTCACGTGCCGGCCACGTCCCCCCTCACATGTCACTGAGCTCAGCTCACGTACTACATTTCGTACTATAAAACTGGCCTGATTTGGTATTTCTAGACTGATGATATCGCAATTAAAAGGACTCGCATTATCTACAAACATTGCAGATTTTTTAATCCAAAATTAAAAAATCCCGGCTGCATTTTCTTCTACCGGACAGCTCAATGGAACAGTGTAACAGAAAAATGCCAGAAATAATAACATTACGTGTTTCCTTCAACAGAAGGAAAAAAGCTACATATTTTACGGAAACATCCAACCCCCCCCCAAAAAAAAAGTACAAAAAAAATTTACTGTACACAACTTAATTAAAGGATAATTAAAAAACCTTAATTACCTGGACGAAACGGGATTAAGGGTTTTGGCGAGCCCGTTGACGGCGCCGTAACCCCTGGAACTAAACCCTAGGCAACCGAGCAAGCCCTGACGGTAAGGGAGGAACGTCCGTTTCCTCATCTCCTCCGCCTGCGCGCGGTTCGACGAGCCGCTCGTGCGCTGACGGCAACGCCCCCCGCCCGTTTCCCGACGCCGTTGCTCGTTCGGCTTCTCTCTCTCTTTCGAGTCCGACGAGATCGGGATCGACGGGGGCTTGGAGTCCACCTTGGATTTCGACGGAGAGAAGGAGATCGAGTGCCAGAACTTCTCCTTGGCTCTTCCCTCGCTCTTGCTCCTGTAGAGGAGGTCCTTGAGAAAGATCCAGCGCTTCGAGTTTCGGCCGGTTGATGACGATCTCGAGGTTGATGCTGATGAATCTGAAGGCGCGACCTCTTCGTTCTCTTTCGGATCCAGATCTAGATCTGGATCCGCTTCTGGATCCTTCTTCTTCTTCTCTTCTTCTTCTTCTTCTTCTTCTTCATCG